ACAATCAAGATATCCATAATGATGGCAGAGACCAAAGATATATTTATAATTTGTTTGTTTGTTTTTTCTTCTTTTCGGAGCACATGTTAAACAGCCCCAATGAGGGTGTTTGTCTTGATTTGATAAGATAAGATAAACGTTTTAGATATTTTTGTTTTAATGAATATATGTTTTGGGGTACGTTGTAGGTGGGCAGCTGAGTCGATTTATTTGCTTGCATGTGATTTTTATTGGTTAAAATGTATTATAAATAGTTTTTTATTCATTATATGGTTGTTTTGTATCTTTTCTGTATTTCTAGGATCTAGAAGATGATTTTCGTACATTCTCTGATTCTCTCGCTTTCTTTCTTTTCTCTCTCTCTTTTCTCTCTTTCTCTTCTCTCTCTCTTCTCTCTCTCTCTCTCTCTCTCTCCTCTCTCTCTCTCTCTCTCTCTCTCTCTCTCTCTCTCTCTCTCTCTCTTCTCTCTCTCTCTCTCTCTCTCTCTCTCTCTCTCTCTCTCTCTCTCTCTCTCTCTCTCTCACTCTCTCTCTCTCTCTCTCTCTCTCTCTCTCTCTCTCTCTCTCTCTCTCTCTCTCTCTCTCTCTCTCTCTCTCTCTCTCTCTCTCTCACTCTCACTCTCACTCTCTCTCCCACTCTCTCTCTCTCTCTCTCTCACTCCCCCTTTCCCTCTCTTACTCTCTCTCTCTCACTTACTCTCTCTGCTTCGCTCCCTGTTACTCACACTCTCACTCTCTCTCTTTTCATTTTCTCTTTTGGTCGAACGTTTTCCCTGCTGTTAGTCATAACAATGTTCATCTGCAGTCGCTGTTCACTGGCTTCCTTGAGCGAAGGGTGAGTGTTTGTTGGTCGTCAAGAAGTACAGCCCTTGAGCCCTTCTGTAAGTGTAGGCGAAATGTAGATAAATCGAAATGTAAATAAAGTGAAAAAGTAGATGAATTCAGTATGTAAATAGGGTGAAAATTGTGAATAGTTAAATTAAGGTAAGTCAATATGTAAGTGAAGCCAAATGATAGGTAAAGGAAAACACAGATGAAGTCAAAATGAAATCCTCAAAATGTAAAATTAAATAAAAATAAAGTTTAAATTGAAGCAAATATTTAAATAGAAGTATATATAAAACTAAAATTAAAAATCGAATGACAGTGAAAATAAAAAGCAGAAAATGCCAATTTGTGTACACCTGTAGAGATAGAATAAAAAATTTTAGATACAAACCAAATCACAATGTATGTATAAACTAAAAATGCCTCAAAATGCCTCATTCTCCTACTTTACCCTTAAACCTGATCTACCCAACCCCTCCCCCACCCTCACCCTTTCCCCACCCCTCCCTGCTCATTTTGCCCCTTCCCTCACACTCCCCCCCCTCAGCCCACTCCCCCACTCATCCAACCCCATTCCTCCCCTACCCCACATACGCTACCCCAACCCCTCACCCAAGGTAGTTTAACATAGGTAGCACCATTCCGTCTTGATGAAAATCCTAATAGGCAGCTTCCGAGCAAAGCCTAGCCTTTCCACCTTTATTTATTGCAACTTTTTTATAGTTCTTTTTTTCTTGGTTTTATTTTGATAATTTTCTTATCTTTCAGAGAATATGCAACGAAAGAAAAAACACTATAAATATCACACACTGACTCGGTCAAAAACAGGGCAGAGCTTGCCAATGAGAGTGCATTGTGAGATACCGGATATAGCCAGATACATAATTATTTGTATCATTTACTCGATATTGTTATATTTACAAGAATTGAAAGCAAAATTCCTCTCTTATGACAACATAGACTTCCTTACCATTAACAGCCGTGACAATACTCTTCGGAAAGTCACTTTCATTTTTGGGTTCATTGGGTTAAATGGAAGTGGAGCTACCTGGTTATATGTACCTTGCCCACACCCCACTCATCTATGCCCACAGACCCCTCCTCTCGCCTTTACCCTCTCACCCTCCCCCCCCCCACCCTCCTCCCTACCCCACTCACCCATATGTACCTTGCCCCCCCCCTCTCTCTCTCTCTCTCTCTCTCTCTCTCTCTCTCTCTCTCTCTCTCTCTCTCTCTCTCTCTCTCTCTCTCTCTCTCTCTCTCTCTCACAGCCCCCTCCTCTCACCCTACCCCCACCTCCTCCCTACCCCACTCACTCTGGCACCAGATGGAAGCCCATGTCGACGCAGTTCTCCCCACACTCAGGACACGCCCCTTGCTCGTACGCCTCCCAGCTCTCGCATGGGCGTGCGTTGAAGGCTTCCGTGGGCTGGAGGGCGAGGATGCTCTCCACCCAGTACTCGTGGGAGCGGCCGTGACTGCATCCTCCTGCGAATCAGTAGTTTAAGATTAAGTCCTTATCCTGTTCGATTCTGTTCTGCGGGAATGTGGCCAGTTGGATTCGGTAAGATTTGGATTTGGAGGTAAATATTCATTCGGAAATATCTGAGTTTTCTTAAGAGTATGGTTTACCTTATAAAATGGCGCTGAACTTTAGGTTAACCACCTTTCTCCCATTCCCTTCATTTCTACTCCACTTCTCCTCCCCTTCCCGCCCCTTCCCTCTACTCCACTTCACCTCCCCTTCTCCCACCTTCCCTTTACCCCCGTAGCTGACCTGCAAGGAGGTCCGTCCAGTCCTCTCCGAGCACGACGCACCCCGGCTGGTGGTCGCCGCCGTTGGGGTAGAAGTCCACGTGGCCGCTCGGAGCTCTAGGCCTACGCAACTCTGGGGGGGGGGGGCAGGTTAGGGAAATGGGATGATAAAGATGGAAGTTCTAGGCAACTGGAGGTTAGGTTAGGGAAATGGGGATAATAGTGTAAAGATGGAATGTTCTAGGCCTACGCAACTCTGGGGGGGGGGGGGAGGCAGGTTAGGGAATGGGGATAATAAGTGTTAACGATGGAATTGAGAAGATTTGGGGGATATATGGGATGATAAAGGTAAAAGCAAAGGAAAGTGCAATGATGAAACAAGATGAAGTGAAAAATAATAAAATATATGGAAAGTGATATGAGAAACTAATGGATGTATATATAAATATAAATAAATATATATATATATATATATATATATATATATATATATATATATATATATATATATATATATATAATATATATACATATATATATATATATATATATATGTAATTTTCTATATATATCCCGTATAACCGATATCGATGATTTTGGTATCGTTGGATTCCTCTCACTCTATACAATGCAAATATGTAGGTTTTATTGCTAGAAACCCCCGTTAGCGGCAAACTTGGCCCCGATAGCAAGGGAGGGCATGGAAGGTTCCAGGGAAAATGCGGGGTTAAATAACACTAATAATATAACGCACAGTGAAACTAACCATGGTTATTCACATGACTTTCCTTTTGCGCCCCCTACGTCCCCCTGGTGGGGGCTGCCGCCCCACAACCCCGCCGAGGAAACAAAACCTCCACCACGTAATCCCGGCAGGCTAAACCGTTACACAATCATCACAATCATCGTCGATGTCGAAGGGTTTTGCGCCTCTTTCGATGTTACACCGATGGCCTCAAGGTCGAGTTTCCCGTCCTCTGGAACAACGACATCCGTATTCCTAACCGAAATAACCGTCGCGTTCAGTAGTCCGCCATAGCCGCCGCGATGGCCGAGTGTGGAGGTGCTCGTACTCGGAGACGGATTTCCTGCGCGAAATATCGACCAGCCAGGAAGAAATGTTGGAGATGTCTGTGGCCGCAGGAAGAAGCACTTCGCAGGGTACCTGGCTCGGTGCATGTTCCACATGCACTACCAGGACCTGAATGTGAGGTTGCACCATTTCCTGTGTGCTGCAGCGTCGCTGTATCCTCCGGCCTAGGACCTCCTGCCGGACGCACCCTGCTCCTTCACCTTCTGCGGCAAAGGAGCACCCTCCCCACTATGAGCGGCATCTATCAATCAGGTTAGTACCTTAAAAATCCTAGGTTATTGTAGGTTATCGGCTCCGCATCTAGTTCGTGTGCGCTCTATCCTGCCGTGAATACGTGGTGGAGGTTTGTTTCCTCGGCGGGGGTTGGGGGCGGCAGCCCCCCTCCCGAGGGGTGGTCGCAAGGGGCGCAGCCCCCTGCAATGGAAAGTCATGTGAATAACCATGATTATTTCCGAGTAATAAAACCTACATATTTGCATTGTATAGAGTGAGAGGAATCCAACGATACCAAAATCGTCGATATTGTTTATGCGGACGTAATATAGAAAAACGTATATATATATATATATATATATATATATATATATATATATATATATATATATATATATATATAGGGTGGTGTGGGAGTGTGGGCGTCAGAAAAAGAGAATTATCAAAATGATGATGACTAAAAATAACAAATAACAATAATAGGCGAAGAAGAAAAATAGAAAGATAGACTAGGAAAACAGAAATGTAAATTAACACAAAAAAAACGCCAAGTAGCCACGTTCTCTGTGCATTTAGATGACTCCAACTCCAACCAGCTGTTCGCCGTCGCCTCTCACCTCGAGCACTGGTCCGGCGTTGGTGTGGATGACGTCAACAAAGATGGCGTCGGAGGGGTCCAGGCGGTTCTCCTCCGGCTGGTTGTAGAATTCCGGGCCGGCGGGGTCTAGGCCTATGGGAGAGCCTCTTTGAAGGGGGGTTTTGGAGATATTTCGAAGTTGTTTTGAATTCATGTTAGATTTGGTATTTTTTGTGGGTCTGTGCCTGTGTTGTGAGGATTCTGCTATTTAGTAATAATTTGGTACGTATTTTTTTTTTTTTTTTTTTTTATTGTCTCGACCTAAAATGATCCTTAACACCTATTTTTTTCAATTTCTTTATACACACTCTTTTTTTCCTGATTTAATTCTTCTCCTGTTCCTTATCTATTTTTTTCAATTTCTTTATACACCCTCTTTCTCTCCAGCTTTAACTCTGCTCCTTCTTTCTCTTTCCCTTATCTTTCCCATGGGCTGTCCCTTTCTCGCTATCTCTTTATCGCCTTCTCTCCCTTTCTCATTCCCTGCCTTTCTCCTTCTCTCCCAACCACCCTTTCTCCATTCCATCCCTTCTCCTACCTGACCTTCCCCGTCCTTCTTACCTTTTGCACCCTGTCTCCCACCCTTCCTCTCTTCCTCTTTTCCACCTTTCCTCTTTTCTCCTCATTCTTCTCCCTTTTCCCCCTTTCTCCCTTTTCCTCTTTCTTCTCCTTTTCCCCTTCTCTCTTTCTCCCCATTCTTTCCCCTTTTTCATTCTCTCTTTCTCCCATTATTCCCTTTCTCGTTCTCCTTTTCTTCTCATTCTTCCCCCTTTCTCCTCCCACCCTTTCTCCTCATACTTTCCCCTTTTCCCTTCTCCTATTCTCCTCATTCTTTCCTCGTCTCCCTCCTACCTTTTTTCCCTCATTCTCCACCCTATCCTCTTCTCATTTTCTCCCCATTCTTCCCCTTTCTCCTTTCCACCCTTTCTCATAATTTTCCACCTCTTCCCCCTCCTTTTCTACTCATTCTTTCCCATTTCTCATTCTTTTCCACTTCTCCCCTTTCTCCTTTTATCCTCCATTCTCCTCTTTTCCCTCCCCCTTTCTCCCATCTTTCCTCTTTCTCCTGTCACCACCATGCCTCCCCATCTCTCCCACCCGCCCCAAACCCTTTCATCCCATTCCTCCCCCCTCACCCACCCCACCCAACCCCCCCTTTCACCCCCAACCTCCCCACCTCGCCCACACCCCACCCATCTCACCCCACCCTTCGATCTCTCCCCTCCCCATCCAACCCCCTTTCACCCCCCCCTCCCCACCTCCCCCATCCCCATCCCTCCCACCCCTTCCCCACCCACCCATCACCCCTTTCACTCCACCCACCCTATCTCACCCGCACCACCACCCCACCCCATCTCACCGTGATCCTCGGAAGCTTGGCAGACGCGAGGTGGCGCCCTATGCTCCCCCGCGACGTGGGCGCCGAGGGAGTGGCCGACAACGTGGACGCGCGAGATGTCCAGGTTGGCGTCCGCGTGGAGCCAGTCGAGCAGGGACGCCGTGAAGCTGCCGACCTGGTTGGAGGCGGGGGGCGGCTGGTTTAGAGGGGCGTGGGAAGGCGTTTGGGGATATTTTTTATTTCATTTTATTTCTTTTTTTTTGGGGGGGGTTTTGGGGGGTGGGATGGAGGGGGGTTAAGTATTGTTGTTTTAGTGTCTCTCTCTCTCTCTTCTTTTCTTTCTTCTTTCTTTCTTTCTTGTTCCTTTTCTCTCTTTCTCTCCTCCTTTCTCACTCTCTCTCTCTCTCTCTCTCTCTCTCTCTCTCTCTCTCTCTCTCTCTCTCTCTCTTCTCTCTCTCTCTCTCTCTCTCTCTCTCTCTCTCCATCTATCTATTTATCTATCTATCTGTCTATTATCTATCTATCTTATCTCTATCTATCTATCTATCTATATATATATATATATATATATATATATTATATATATATATATATATATATACTATATCTACATTTCTCTCCTCTCTTTTCTCTGTCTGTCTCTCTCTCTTCTTACAAGTTTTTTTTCTTAGTTTCTTTCTCTCTTCTCTCTCTCTGCACAAGTTACCTCATCGACGCTCGCAATCGCAACGTTGTACCAGGGGGCTTCTGCCAACGTACTCCAGTCCACTGCGATGACGTTGTAAACGGAGCCCAGTTTCCAGTATTGCTATGGGGACAGGGAAAATAACGTAAGATACGGAAAAGCGTAACGTACAAGACCTGACGGACCTTTGTTAGAGTGCGTTTTCGGAACAATATTCCTTGATAAAAACTAATATGTTCCCTCTGAGTTTCTGAAAGTATTGTTCGCAACGTTGTACCAACGTACTCCAGTCCACTGCGATAACGTTGTACGGAGCCAGTTCCAGTATTGCTATGGGTGAAAGGGAGAAAATAACGTAAGGTACGGACTTTTTGGCGTTAATAATACCTCGATCTCTATTTGTTCCCTCTGAGTAATGTTAGGATCAGTATAGTCATCATTGTTGGTATTATTTAAAAGATGAAAAACTATTATTTTCACCATCGGTACTTTCACGATAGTTGCTGTTGAAAATAGCGTAAGACAGACTATTTTTAATATTAATAATACCTCGGTCTCTATTTGTTCCCTCTGAGTACTGTTCGGTTCATCATCATCATCATTGTAAGTATTATTCAAAAGACGTAAAGCTATTATTTTCACCATCAGTTCTTTCACGATAGTCGCTGTTGAAAATAGCGTAAGACACAGACTATTTTTAATATTAACAATACCTCGATCTCTATTACCTCGTCATCATTGTTAGTATTATTTAAAAGACGAAAAGCTATCATCATTAATTTCACCATCAGTACTTTCACGATAGACACATAGTATTTTATTTAACTACACCTCGATCTCTATTTGTTCCCTCTACGTAATGTTAGTTCCACCATCGTCATCATTGTTACCATTATTCAAAAAACTAAAAACTATTATTTTCACCATCAGTATTTTCCCGAAAACCCTTACTGTCACCGCCTAAACCCACACTCGTTGATTTTCCCAGTTACTCCGTTATTGTCACCCTTATGTGTTGATTTTTCCCAGTTAATTGTCAAATCTACACTTTCAGTTACTCCGTTATTTGTCACCAAAATCGTCCGTTATTGTCACCGCCTAAATCTACACTTTTCCCAGTTACTCCGTTATTGTCACCGCCTAAATCTCCACTTTTCCCAGTTACTCCGTTATTGTCACCGCCTAAATCTACACTTTTCCCAGTTACTCCGTTATTGTCACCGCCTAAATCTACACTTTTCCCAGTTACTCCGTTAACTCCCCCAGTTACTCCGTTATTGTCACCGCCTAAATCTACACTTTTCCCAGTTACTCCGTTATTGTCACCGCCTAAATCTACACTTTTCCCAGTTACTCCGTTATTGTCACCGCCTAAATCTACACTTTTCCCAGTTACTCCCGTTATTGTCACCGCCTAAATCTACACTTTTTCCCAGTTACTCCGTTATTGTCACCGCCTAAATCTACACTTTTCCGTTACTCCTTATTGTTAATCTACACTTTTCCAGTTACTCCGTTATTGTCACCGCCTAAATCTACACTTTTCCCTCCGTTATTGTTACTAAATCTACGTTACTTGGCCTAAATCTACACTTTTCCCAGTTACTCCGTTATTGTCACCGCCAAATCTACACTTTTCCCAGTTACTCGTTATTGTCACCGCCTAAATCTACACTTTTCCCAGTTACTCCGTTATTGTTACCGCCTAAATCTACACTTTTCCCAGTTACTCCGTTATTGTTACCGCCTAAATCTACACTTTTCCCAGTTACTCCCTCCCTTTCCCGAACCGAAAAGGGACGCAACTCGCCCGTCTTCCCCTGCGTCGGCCACCCGCTGTCCCCATTCGCAGAGAAGCCGTGGACGAGGACGTAGGTCGGCAGAGAGACGTCGAGGGGAGACGAGGCCACGTTGGCTGAGTCGCCCTTCACGAGGGGGTAGTAGTTCCAGTCCTCTGGGTTGCTCCTGGGCGGGAGGCGGTTGGCCTTGTTAGTGTGATGATTAGATAGATAGATTGACTGGTAGATGCATAGATAGATATATATATATAGATATATACAGTACATATACACATATATATGTGTGTGTGTGTGTGTATGTTTACATACATGAACACACGCACACACCACACACATACGCCCCACACACACAGACTCCCCGGCACACACATCCCCTTCCCCTGTAAGCACCCCCTCCCACACACATCCCCCCACCACATCCCCCCCAACACATATCCTCCCCACCACATCCCCTCCCCCAAACACACAGACCCCCCCCCCACATACCTGGTCCAGAGGAAGAACGACACATCCTGAGCAATGTCTCTGGGCGTGGGCGGGGGAGCGGCCAGGGATGCGACGCCCGCGACCGCCAGCGCTGAAGGAGGGCGAGAAGAGAGCCTTGGGTTGTGGTGGAGTGAAGTTATGAATTCGATCCAAGTGAAATGAATTTATGAATTAAATTTAAGTGGATTTATGAATTTGATTCATGTGAATTTATGAACATGAATTTAATTTAAGTGAATTTATGAATTTATGAATTTGATTCAAGTGATTGTATGAATTTATGATTTTAATTTGAATGAATTTATGAATATGATTTAAGTGAATCTATGAATTCAATTTAAGAGCATTCATGAATTTAATTCAAGTGAATTTTTGAATTTAGTTTAGCTGAATTGGAAAAGGTTAACTGAGATTTTTCTCCTTTTTTTTTTTTTTTTTTTTTTTTTTTTTAATAGGGAAAAAATATTATTATGTGAAAGGGGAAAGGATTACCTGTGGGTTTTCTTTGAATGTGGAAAGGATTATTAGTTGTTTTTTTTCTTGTTTTTGCTTTCTTTTGGGGGAAGGAAAGCTGTCTGAGGGATTTTTGGAAATGGGAAAGGATTACTTGAGGATTTTTTCCTGCATTTTGTTGTTGTTGTTGTTGTTGTTGTTTTTTTTTGGGGGGTGGGGGATTTATTGGTTCTTAATGATAATGCAGAGTAGAAGGTACAGCGTACTTTTGAATTCATCATTGAAGGGGACAGGCGGTCGAAGTCAATAATAATTAACCATTCAATAACCATGTTTATGAATTTGTTAAGCATATGCTAATTTGATTAGATGTTCGATGTTGGCACGTTTTGCATGAGTGATATAATGACTTACCAACAATAAGTCGAAGAATCATATTCGCTTGTCGGCTGGGTCTCTTGTTGCAACTTCCAATCCGACGGTTTCCTCGACAAGTGCACAGATTCTTGCAAATCTCTTTCAGTCGCCTGCAACACCCGCTGGACGTGAAACAGGTGGACCTCGAGGCTAGTAAGAATCTCCCTCGGAAGGCCTAGCAGTTCTTGGGCTATCCAGTCTTCGAGCGTGATAGAGAACTCCCAAAGAACCTGTCGGGGGATCTACGAAGCGTCCCCAGAGGGCTTCTCATCAGCTCTGCCGAAGACACTGAGGCG